CTTATCAGCGAGGGGTTGAAATTTACGATTTTTCATCGGTAAGTCAGAGTCGAAGTTAAGCGAACCGGACTTTTACAACTTTTCCAGCCAGTAGAACGATATATTCGAACGTGAAAAGTTTGGATTCTCAAGCACCGGGTTAATGCACGCTTCGTTCTACTTGCGAGAATATTTTCATCGAAGAGTGTGCTCGGTATCGGTATGCTTCAGAAGCTTCGAAGTTTTCTGAACGAGCGATACAATTAAGACCCCAACCGTTTACCATTTTTTACAGCCAGCTAGAAAAGTGAAATACGAAATTTGCTTTAATTAAATTCACTTTATTTTACTCCAAAATTTTACAAATTAAGACTATCTTGTAAGAAATTTGAATTTCTTCCAAAAACTTTATGAACTAGAGGTTAATAATACCGTCCACTTCTAATCTTATTCGGTGACTTTAGATTCGTAAAATTTTCACGATTTGAATATTTGATAATGTTGGTACTTGGGACGGGTTAACATTTCGAGTCTTGGTCGTCCCTGGCTATCGGCACAATTCTCTCTCGTAGTTGTCATGGTAACCCCTGTTCAGGGTGCTCCCTTGTCGAGAGTAGGCAGTTTCCAGAGGTTTAGGGTGTAACCTCGAGCTCCCAGCCGAACGACGTCGATCAAGGCATACCTATTCCACTGGTGATAAATCTAAATGCTTCATCTTACCATCCTCTGTTTCATCTTATCCTTCATTTTACGTATGTCCACTTTGAGATACTTCAAGGATGGTGGATAATTTAGCAATAATCTTGGACAATTTCAATTTCGTCAAGACGAACAATCTCTCCTCTTCTTTTACCTAAGTTTTCATCCTGTGACACAGGCTTTATTGTCTTTTATGAAGATTCATGAAAATAAAAAGCGATAACAGATTTCATTTTGAAAAATATCTAGGTGTAAATAAAAGGTTATAAGGTGTGATTCTTCAGGATCGACATCTTTTTTCCTTGGAAAAGTTTCATCTGTCAGTGACGTCGTTCAACCTGATCTCCTCCGTCAAGATGACAGTACGAGATAAATCCGAAGTTCGAGGTGATCCTTTTGATAGTCAACCGTTTCAGTAAAATGACCCTTTGTCCTTTCTTCGTTCTACTTCTCTTTCGTGCGATCTTCTTGTAGATTCGTGCTATTTGTAAAACGCAGGGATTTCTTAGTATTCGTAAAAAGGCGAGAAGAAACGAGGACACCTATAAACAGAAATGCAATCAGTAAATTTCGATCGCCATGTTCCTTCATTCAGAAAAATATTGCTATTGGAAAAGAGTAATATAATATTAAGATTCTTCAAAAAATTAAACATTCAACGGTGACTTTTTATTATTAATTTCTGTAGAAGATAATTAATTTTCTTCAAAATTGTTCCAAGACTCGTCTGCCAGTTCGATAAAATATTTTTTCAACTTTTAACTGCGACAGTTAGATCGAAAGCAATCTCGATAATGCTTTATTAGTCCGGTAAAAATTTATTCTTCGATCACGAGCCATTTACCAATCACCGTTCCCATTCGTCATCCATTATTCCAATAAAAGCTGGTACTCGTCACCGAAATCGTTGCCGTCCCGATCGCGCGACGTCCTCTCCGTCCAGGGATCTCGATAAATTTGTCCCGGTGGCGGCTGTTCGCGCTCCTTTACCCCACGGTCAGGTCAACCGTAAAACATTTATAGTGTCACGGGGATGTACGTGCACACATAGGCGAAGAGAGGAGAGTGCAAGAACGCGAGCGCATGTGTGATCCAGCTGCAACGCGGCTACGTAGCCGCGTAGAGGGTTCTAAAAATACGCGGCCACCCTGAGTGCACTTGAAACTGCACCAGCGAAGCCTGTAGCCCCGAGAGGATGGCCGACGTCGATAGGCAATATCACCGAGGCGACGCGACACGACGCGACCCGACGCGACGCATCCGACCGTTTCTCTCTTGCTCTCGTTATAATTGTCCCGATACTTCCGGCACTCGCCACCAGAGGAGCACATGAACTTACTTTCTCGTTAGTCCTCAAATAATTACCCTTTTTGTAAGATTTCAATTTTTCTTTGTTGCTTCAATAAAATCTTGGACGATACAGTTGACAATATTTGAAATAAGAACATCTTCGTAATATGTATTGTATTTTGGGTATTATTACAGTGGTACGAGAATATGTGTCCTGACATCGTATCTTCGTTTGTTACCACAAGCTAATACCGTAGAGATCCATTTCCATCTAGAGTGCGTCGAGCGCGTTATTCTAAGCACCGTGGCTTTTGCACCCTCTCGTGTCGTCCCTTCGTTTCTATGGTGATTCGAAGAGGGATGCTATCCCCGTGGATCGAGGCAAGTTTCGCTCCCCGCAGAGGGGGATGATCTATCCAGGATGGAGAGTGCTCCATCCTCTCGAAGGAAACAATCATTTCGCTGGTGATTATTGAGGTAACGCCAGACGGAAGAGCGTAATTACATTTTCATGGAAATGTTGCGATGCATCCCTCCATGTATTCATATTTTATTTTCAAACGGAAATTGGAAATATTCTGAATAGTAAAAAGACTTGGTATGAAATTTAACACTCGGCGAATCTATTTAGAACCGTGTCACCGAATTTTCAACATTTTTAGGAAGTGAGCTTTCGGTTCGGCTCTCTGCGCAAACCGTCGCGTCGGGTCAGCAAGCGGTGGCTGCAAATTTACATTCACCTTGCGGCCACTTCCTTTTCGTTGTGTATTTACGTTGCTTCTAAACGTCAACTCCACTCGTTTAGCGGGATCACGTTGCCGAAAATACGCTAGTCGCACCTTTGAAAACGTACACAGCAGTCGCGTTCCATTGACGAAATGACCAGGGTTTCTTAGAATTCTCTTCAATGTTTCTTTTAATGTGACATTACGCATTTTGCCGGGTGATCCACGAGCTTTTGTATAGCAGAGCATTGTCAACATTCGTTAGAATTGCCAAGGTATAAAACTGGATCAATGTCTCCCCCGTAGAGTGAAACAGATTGTCACGCGTGTACAAGTTTCTAGCAGTTTGCGATTTTCACCTGCAACCAAACCTCGCGGCTCTCCTGTTTGACATTACTCGCGTACTCCCTCTGCGGCCGACAGACCCGATGGATCCTGGCGGAATTCCAGGATATAAATTGTCGGGATTTCGTTGTCTCCGATACTTTACTGGAGAACTTTCTAGCTGCCGTCAACTCGGCTTCCCTCCCGGTACCGCGACTCGCTTCCAAAGGGAGCTGCATCGATTCGAAACGAACGAAACGCATCCAGCGACGATCCATCTTCGATCCTTTCCTAGGAACGGGATTGCATAACGATAGGGAAAGGAATAGGCGTGATGGAAGTCGTGAAAGTTTCGACAGTGCAACATGATGCATTCACGTTTTACGTCATGTATGGGGGCTCATCTTCTACCAAAGGTTAGAGGTGGCTAAATGATTCACGCGATAATTTCTCGAACGTCTTCATGTGCACGTGCATCAAGAAATTGTTTGCAAATATTGAAATCCTATGATTAATTTAATCAATGTAATTAACATAATTGATACTGAAGTTACCAAATGGTATCAAACTTTTTCCATTAAATTCTTCTCATCATCTACACTGTGATCGAATATTTTACAAATATCAACTCGAGTGTTTTGTTATGTTCTTCGATATTGATTCTGCTACATTCATTACGTAGGATGTTAACAATGGAGATTCATTCGTTCGTTCTTAAGTACTCTACACTGTACTGCACGATTCGTCGGTCAGCACTTTAATTGTACGATTTACAGAGATAAAACATACCTCGGGAAATAATAACGTTTGCTCTTGAACACGATTGCCTTCGCAGCGATAATTTCGCAAAGAACCCTGGTAATCTCGTGTAGCACAAGCTTTCCTCGGAATCGGAATCCGTTCTGTACTCTTCGGTAATGGTTTCATTTCCTTGTATCTCTCTGGTGCGTGCTAATATATGCGTAATAACAGTGTGCTTCGATATTATACGTACTGGGACGTGATTGGATCCCACGTACTGGTCAATTTTCGTAGCATACCGTTCGGTGATTCGTTGGTTCGTGGAAAAACGGTGGAAATTAACGAAATGTTAATGAAAACCCGTACGAGTTTGTTTTAATCATGGGGGAATTTTTATAATTGCGTTCGACGAGATACGTTTAGAAAGCGGTGTGTATTCTGAAATATTTTTACATCAAGTTTTTCATTTAACTTACTGCAATCATTTTATTGTAATTTTAGATTTTTATTCAAAGCCATTCGCGTGTAGATTCATTCGGCGTTCAATTTCTGTTCGATTTATTCGTTACCTGTGAATCAGTTTATTTGCTATTCATGAATAACTAACAAATCGATTTTATACGTTATTGAAAATAACTTTTGTCTAACGCTGATATTCTGTAGCCATTAAAAATCAGAGTAAAATTCATTTATATCTGCATAAAATCAAATAAATAAATTTGTGGTTTTCTAACCGTAATTAAAATAGGCGGGAAAATAAAATTCTAATTGTAAAATGTTAATTACTTTAATATAAAACAGGAAAACATTTACGAGGAATGTTGAATCACTGTAAACGTGATTCGCTACATAAATAGCATAGAAAATACAAAAGTAATATTAAAATAGGCAACAGGAGGTTAAAAAGAAGTAGAAATAAATTTAATTTCATATTCGTTCGGACAGCAAGGCAGGGTAATTGCATGGGAAAATAAAAGGAGGGAAAAAGTAAATCATAGGCATAAATCTTATGTCACATTGTAGCCACCGCAGGCAACGACGACGATGCATGGTTGTAAATGTAACAAACGTTCACGGTAAATGAAACGTTTTATATTTCCATAAATTTCCCGTTCGACGTTGGAGAGAGAGCGATCAAAGCGAGGCATTTTGTGCGGCCCGATAGAGTTTGATTCGCGTAGTACGGAAGATGGCCGATGCGCGGCGCTGGATGCGCAGTGACGCTGCGCGCCGATGGCGCCGGCTAGGAGCGGGATCGTCAGTCGCAAAGGGACCACGCACGGTGACGGTCGTGTGTTTGTCGCAAGAAAGAGAGAACGTGCTATAGGACGAAGGGAGCTAAGGACAAAGAAAGAGAGTTGGAGAAGGACGTTAGAGGAGGCAACAGAAATACGTAGACATTTTCGCGGTCGTTCGTGGTTCGACGAGTTTCGCGGGTCCCGCTCGGTCGTGTTCGCGTGAAAGAGTTTTTAACCTCGTCGTTCGATTATCGTGCGTCGTCTCGGTCCGTTCTGGTGCGTGTGGATCGGCGCGCGCGCGTTTGTGTCCGTGTGTGCGTGAAAAACACCGCACCGTCTCTCGTTACGCTTGTGTGTTACACATACGGTTAGCACGTATACAGAGAGATCTACGTGCGACGGAAAGAGAGAAGGAATCACCGGGTCGCGTACAGTGTGAACGAAACCGACAGAGTAAGAGAAAGAACGAAAGAAAGAGAGAATAAGAAAAGCGACACAACTGTGAAGAGGAGAGCAGTGGAGGTGGGCGAGGAGGGGGAGGAGGTACGGAGTGTTGGATTTGTTTTCTCGCACAACGGTGGAGCAAAACGGCCTCAAACTGTGGGGCTCTGGGGCGTTTTTTCTTCCTCCGCAAGGGATGTACTACCCCGTAAGTGACCATTTCATTTTTTATGAATATTGTGCGTTCACCGGGCGTCCAGCGATACACGAGAGAGGGAGGCGTCTCTCTGTTTCCCTCACTCTACCCTCTCTTTGCTGGAAATGTTCGAAGGCGTCGGTTCGATATGAGGCGCCAGCCTGTGGGATCGTGCTTCGTTTCTATTTTCAACCTCTGTAAACGATAGAATATCGTACTCCAATAACTCAACCATGCTCCTCGTTCGATTCGTGTTGCGTAAAAAAAACGCCGAGGAAAGAATAGAACACACGCGCACAGTGTTTCGTTTCCATCGCGTATTGTTTTGTTTCTTCCCTTTAAAGTAATTTAATTTTTCAAACCGTTCGTTTTTACTTGTTTACTATTCATTTCAAATCTATCTCTTAAGTAGTCAGTGAATATTTAGCCGTGGTTAATGGTAGAGACTAGCACGATGCGCACGAATTGAAGGTTAGGTTTGCCTCCGCCGGGATATGTACTCCGAACGAGGAGACGAAGCTCGGAGCAAAGAAAGAGCCGATTGGACTCTGCTTTATGACAATCTAAGGCTACGAGAATCGCCTTGACCATTGCGTTGCCAATGGAATACGCATTTCGAGGAACGCTCTTGATTTATTTACCGCGTTAAGAGGCTTCCGTGAAAGAGAGGTTAGGATGCTCACCGAGGGACACGGACAGGGGGCACTACGAAGTGAAAGTAAATAAAGTTGCTCGCTACCTTCCTTCAATGTGCTGTTAGCTTTTCAAATATTATATTGGAGCGTCAATGATGTACTAATTTTAAACCGATAACCTCGACAAATTTTAATCGATACCGTAGCCAGCTACAAACCACCAAAGCATAATTGCAGCACCAATTTACACTGCGTTCAACTATTCGTATTTTCTTTCATTTTATTTCTTTCACTGTGTTCGTAACTCGAGTTGAGCTAATGGTTTCGTTTCCTTCACGGTCCCTTTGAATCGGAGCAGGTATAACCGACCCTGGGTATACTTATAGATTGTAAAATTGAAGAAACGGGACTTTTCCGACCCCGCTGTTATCTCCTATTTCAAAGTTCTTTTCTTCGCGACGACGGGTTCCTTTGGGTAGGATTTTGGGTACAATAAGGTCTGCAGAGACATACAACCAGGGGCTATGCTTTCTACTCGTCATTCGAAAACCTAGGAACCTTACGTGCTATATGAAATTCGTGTCATTACTCGTTGCATCAAATTACATCACGAATATACAATAGATATTATGCGTCTTTATCACGTGCATCGCGGCGCGAAACTTGCCTGTTTCGTCACGTCACGACCAATGGAAACGGAGCTTGTTTTTGCGCGCGTTTTCGAAGCGTCCACGGTTCGTTGCGAACGCATCCGTGTAATTGACATTAACACGAGTATCGCGTTACATTGTGTTTGTTATTGTTTCGCTGTTTTTCATTTCGCGCAGAAATATTTGAATCGGCAGATGCAAACTTCCGGGCTCGATGAGACTTGACTTTCTGAATTTCAACTTTGCCATTATTCTATGCTCGGAGATTTAAAATTAGAGACTTAAGCTTGCATCTGTTGAAGATACACAGGAATACGAAACGGGCTCGTTTAAATAATCACAGAATCGTATTCTGTATTTGCATCGAAAATCGAATGTCAGACTAATTTCCGCGTGAAAACGTTTTCCCCAACCTCGAAGCGGTTTTTCCGCCGTTTGTAGGTGGTTCGTGGAAAACGAGAAAGCTTGTTCGCCGGAGAGGAACGAGAGGCAAAAAAATTCAAAGCAGATTACACCGTCACGAGGTGGACGTTAATCCGTTGGCATTATCACTGCCAATTCCAGGGGAATAAATTAAAAAAAGAAAAATTCGGTAACACGGTCACGTACCGTGTCCGCTTTTCAGAGTAGAAGAGTCCCTTTTTAGGTCAAGCGTCCTAGCCCTCACCCCTACGCCCTGGACCGCCCCTTTTAATATTATTTTCCGAGATACAGACGGCCAATGAGGCTTGAACAGACAGAAGTGGAACCATCTCGAAATACTTCTGTCCACGTTTATTCCTCGAGGTCCGCTAATTTTTCCACATTTCCATGATTCTTTCCGGTGCTCGTGCATACTTCTGTTGACCCCTCGATAGAAAGGATGTATTTTGAAATATAGGATGCTATAAGCTATTTTCAACCCCTGTATCGGTGCTTTATTTCGAAGCAAGCTGGGAAAGATCGATCGTTACCCTTGGTTAGTTCCTCGAGCTTGCGACTTGTCTTTTCTTTCGCCTGCCAGAAGAAAATCAGACATGGATGCTTTCAGACTGAAATTGCTTCAAATATACCATATGTTCCGAAGTTCTTTAGATAGATTCGGAGATTGTGATTCAATTTCGATAAAAAAAAATGAATTGTCCTTGCAGTGTCACCTTGTTATCGATATTCGCGTCACGAGCTTGTTTAATCAGTGGGTTTTGCTATGGCTAACCGCATCTTCGGCGTCGTGTTATCTGTTCATAGATACATCTGTATCACCTTCGTTTTTCTCAGGGTTAAATTTCATCCGGCAGGCAAATTAGATGTAAACACATTTCACAATTTTTTTCCACTGCTCGTCGGGTCTTCGATATCGATCCAAGATTCTCAAACGTAACACGCATACTTTCGGGAGTAATTTTTCTATACTCAGTTTCCGCAAGAAATGTGCTGAGATATTAGAAATTGAACGCCGGGAGAAATGGGAAATGTACGCGTCGGATTGGGGAGGGCGAAAATTTGAAAGGTGTCTGAAAGTGCAGGATCTGATATTCGAATGGGATCGAAAGTTATTTGGCGCGATGCAATCTTCCTGATTGCAACATACTCGAATCGAGGCTCGAACTTTGCGTTATGCGATATGCTTCTGTTGTTTGGCAAATGCTTCCTGATAAGTAGAAAGCACGGAGTTTGATTCTCGTTGGAAATATTTTTTCCAGTTAAGCGAGCTTCTAGAATTTTTAGCTACCGCAAGCTTTTATCGTTGTTTCTTTAATTTGCAATCATTTTAATGGCCACGGTTTTTCGTCGGAAAATCAATCAGCATCCCAATATCTACGGCTGTTTCGATTCATTCGCGGTGCTCCAATGGAAGCTATTTTTGCGAGCGGTGTTCAACCCTCGAAGCAGAGGTCATGCCCCGCGAAAGCACGCGAAATAGGCCGTACACGATCGCGTGTTAACACGAGCTTTATAGATCACGCGTTCTCTTTATGGCCATCGGCCATATTTCCATAGCGTTTCCCGTTGTTTTGCACGGTTAAATCACAGGTAATCGGAATGTCGTTTCGAAACAAGCAGAGATTCGAGGACCGGTCACGTGCAGCTGTGTACTTCCGGTCCATTGGTCGATCAATCGATCGTTTCTCGTTCGATTGTTCGCGTATTAAATGCGTGAAAACCGAAAGACAATTTTAGGAAACAGATACTCTCGGTATTTCGTTAAGAGCTTTTTTTTTTAAATTAATAAGTTTGAATATATTAAAAAAATATCTAACGTGTCATACGAGTAATCCGAGGGGACATACATAAGTGGAAGGAAGTATCGTTTTAAAGCTTAAACTGCGTTGCTTGCGCGGTTAATTTGCATCGCAAATACGTGTCAAGGCTTTTTTTCTCTCAGTCCGAACATTGTTTTTCTTTTCATCGTTGGAAATTATCGCTTATGAAAACTCACTTAGCGTATTCTTTGTCTTGAAAAGAGAAAATTTCTTCCTCTTCGACTCCCGTTGTACTCCGATTTATCACTTCGATGTAAAACCAACAAAGGAATTATTGTTAACATCCTATCGATGAACGGCACTGTTTTTCTTACACATACTGCCGGTCATCTATTACCAATGACGTAAAAATGATAATCGTATGCAAGAAGCAATAATCATGCTCGTTTGACCTCAAGTTTAATTTCAATTCCATACCAGTTTATATTAATGTTCGAATAAAGAATTCGATGTTTAGGAAAATTCGAATTGAATGAGTTAGGCGGTATTATTAAAGTCGATGATTTAATTAGACAGTTTGGAACAAAATGGAAGCCGTTCGATTTTCGCGAAGGAAAATCGACGAATACGAGTTGGTACAGAGATGTCTGTGTAAACGTTTGGGGGATTCGCTTCTCAAATAGTCTCTGGTGGATCACGTTTTATCCGAGGGAACAAGTCGGAAGTAACTAGTAAAATGTTGACGAAAATACGCGCAGTTAAGTGCACGAATTAATTAATATCGCGAGATCCAACTGTTACAGTTCTGCTTCTCAACCTTCTTGCGAATTGATTAATGCTCCCAGTTCGTCGGGTTTTCTACACTTGCAAATTGGAATAATTTTAATTGCCCGTTTGTTGATCTGGTCGCGAAGAAATTAACAATCCCAGTCGGATGCAGAAAATTGCAATACGAAGTTAATGAAATTGCAACTTGCAACGGTTTTAGTTGAAAAATCAGTATATTCGTTAAATTGCAAAATAACGATGTACCGAGTTGCAAAGCGAATCAAATGGCAAATTTGATCAATTTTAGTCGTTTCGTTATCTAACTTCCTTTCTAAAGAAGATGCCTTAAGGATCCAATAATCGTTAGATCGGAGAACTCGGCATGGAATTACGAAGCAGAAACTGGGAGCACACAGGTTCCAGCAATTTCAGTCATATCCTCTCCTAACTTACAAATTAGTTACGAACAACACGCAACATCCGCCCCGGTGTTCGTATACTGATACGGGAATTAACTTATAATGCTTACGTATCGCGTCCACCGGAATAAGATCAATGATTAAATGGTGCAACGTTAGCTATTGTCTTGTTCGATGAAGACAACGCGAGTGTCCATTATTCACGATCAATCGTGCAAAATGTGAATAATTCATCCTATCAACCCTCTATATATCACTGTTACTTTCAGATAAGCTTGCAATTTTTTAATTATAATTTTACGATTTTCCTTCAAATGCATTGTGCATCAACGTGACTGAAATTATTCTGTCCAGTTA